TGCTGTGGAGCAGGCGAGAGGAAGCTAACCCAGTTGGGTAACTACAGGAAGAGACAGGTAAGCCTCAATACCTGAGGGATGAGTGGGCTGGTCAGGCTGGGGCCTGGGAGAGAGTGTCCCAGACCAAGGAAGGGCTGGTCAGGCTGAGGCCCTCCTGGAGGAGGGACAGAGGGTCAGTGGGGGCCACTGGTGATCGCTCTGGCTGGCAGGGGCACAGAGCACATGGGAAGAGCGATGACATTAGCTCACAAGCAGTCTCATCGTCATCGATGACAATGTCTCCATTCCTAGGCATATGTTTATCTTGTTTTCTCCATTAAAATAGGAATGCATATTTCATTTCTTTGTAAAACCTGTTAGTGAACAAGCACTGATGGAACTGAAAGGATGTTAAGTGTTAAGGATACAGATCCAAGAATCATCCTGGTTCCTGCAGGGGAGAGGTACAGAGAACTCACAGAGCAGATGAGGAGGGGTTGGGGAGGCTTCCTAGAAGGACTACTACAGCACGGACATTCCTGACATGCAAGTACCCATCCACCATTCTGCCCCGGAAGGTGACCTCGAGGCCCACCTTCTGAAAGAACTGTGTTACTTCTCCACAGTCTTACGAGCCACACTGTCCCCAGAGGAACCAGATCTGTACTCCAAATTTTGAAGAGCCTGCAGAGAACTCATCAGCTTTCATATCTGTGCGTGAAACCAGAGATGATCCTCTCCCCACTAAGAACCTGACTTTGCTGGCTAGCTCAGCTCTGCAAACTTAGCTCACACTCCTCTCCCAAGCACTTCAGAATTCTTTTCAAGGTCTCCCCAACCTTTAAGAGCGATTTCCCTCAGCCAAAAGAGCTTTCTTGAGAAGAAATAGTGGTGAGAGCAAGCAGAGGAGTGTAATTACCGACCCTTCTCGGGCATCAGCTAGCTGAGCATTCCACAACAAATGGAGAATGCAGAAAATGATCAGGAACTGAGGGACGCTGAAAGGAAGTGTCATGGGCACTCTAAGGAAGTGGCCAAGACCAAGAAATGTGAGACAGAGGAGGCAATGAGGGGGTGCCTGGGGAGACTGACCCCAGAACACTTACATCTTTGAAGTAGCAGCCGGAGCAGTATTAGAGTCCACATGACTACTCCTAGTAGTGACATTACTCACACACACACGCTGCTTACTGTAGGCCAGGCAGCATTCTTTTTTTTTTTTTTTTTAATGATTATTATACTTTAAGTTCTAGGGTACACGTGCATAACGTGCAGGTTTGTTACATATGTATACTTGTGCCATGTTGGTGTGCTGCACCCATCAACTTGTCAGCACCCATCCACTTCACCAATGCTACACTTTACATATACTAACTTATTTAATTATCACAACTTTATGAGCTAAGTATCCAGATTTTACAGATGAAGAAACTGAAGTACAAAGAGATTTAATGATTTGTTCAAGGTTACATACATCGTAAGTGGCAGGGCTGAGATCTAAATCTAGTCTGGCTCAGAATTCAAGCTTTTAACCATTACACTGTATTTAAATCTTAATGCTGAAAGGCAGAAGGGGGTAGCTAGTAAAAGTAGCCAGGCACCAATGAGAATGCTTTTGTTTATAAACCTTAGCACAGAGCTTCCCTGCTGATGTGCTGTGAATGAGATGTTGATCCCCTCATCAGGCCTCCAGTCACTCGCTGTTACTCAGGTATGCAGAACAGTATCATTTTCAGCATGTGCTATGATGTGAAAAGGTTGGGCAGCACTGCCCCAGCTTCCAGAAATATGAAGGCATTATTACCACATTATTATCATCCTATTCATCGAAAACCTCATTCATCAGAAGTTTCTTCTTCCTGTTCTGAGCTTGCCTTGTATTTTGTGTTTTGTCATCTTATGAAAGATGAGTTACCAACCAAAGTCCACCCACGTTATTTCATGGCAGTTCTGGTGTCAGGTACAGGCTACGTTCTTCTGCCTGACACATTAGTGGGAAGATTGGTTTTGTGGCATCATTATTATGTGGGGACAAGGAGAGGGTACACTCAAACACTAGTCAGATTTAACACATGATGGATGAAAGGAGTCACTTGTAAAGTCAGCTCAATCAAAGGACAGTCTGTTCACGGTGATACTGCAAGGGGCTAAGGTATTCTTCCCCAAGAGTCTGGTGTGAGGGGAGGCTGGGCCGCAGCATGCAGGTGGCAGCGTCTCGCTTCGCTGCAATGAAACTGGGAGGTGAGGCCTGCTAGGGTGCCAGCAAGGAATCCCCCACAGGCCTCAGACAGGACTGGGGGCCTGAGAATCCCAGAGACAAAAGGTCACAACTCTAGTCCATCTTCTCCCTCTGTTCTGATTCTGGGATCACAAGCAGCCTTCAGAGCTGTCACTGCATCTCCTGGTGGAAGGAACGGCAAGAGGAAGGACATGGAAGGGGAGAAGGAAGTGTGTGCTGAAGAAACAGCAAGCAGGCGGAAAGGGCTGGGTGCAAATGGGGAGCAGCGTGTAAAAAGCTGACGAAGGTGGGCTGCGCTCAGGCCCCCAGGCACAAACACAGCCCTCGAGGCTCTCCAACCCCCAGCCCCTGTCTACCTTCCAGCCTCAGCACCCAACACAGCCATTGTTTCACGGAAAAATGAAACTAGCGGCTAGTTCCGCTTGCAATTCAAGGGATCCCACACGTGCTTTTCCTTGAGTCAAGTGCTGTACTTTGGTTTGCCACAGAAGTGCTTTATGAGTATTTCAATTTTGTTACACAGAATATTAAAGAGATCTGTACTCAGGGTTGGAATTCAATAAAACTGATAATTTTTGCTACTTCATCAAGGACATTCTTGTGTGAAAATGGCATTTAAAAAAAGCCAGGTGCGGTGGCTCATGCCTGTAATCCCAGCACTTTGGGAGGCTGAGGTGGGCATACCACCTGAGGTCAGGAGTTCGAGACCAGCCTGGCCAACATGGCAAAACTCTGTCTCTATTAAAAATACAAAAATTAGCCGGGTGTGGTGGCAGGTGTCTCTAATCTCAGTTACTCAGGAGGCTGAGGCAGGAGAATCACTTGAACCTGGGAGACGGAGGTTGCAGTGAGCCGAAGTCGTGCTACTGCCCTCCAGCCTGGGCGACAAAGTGAGACTCCATCTCAAAACAGAAACAAAAACAAAAAACTGGGAGTACAGAGCAGTGGGGAATACAATGGCTACTAGCACAGTTCAGCATCACCACCTGGACCAAGGCACCAATAGTATTACCCATTGTTGCTCTGCAACAACAGAGAACATCTTAGTACTATTACAAAAATCATTTTGACTGCACAGATTCCTGGAAGAGTTTTGGGGACCCCCCATGGTCTGCAGTGTATGCTGCGAACCACTGGCCTAGGTGATGGGGAGGGACTGGGTGTGACTGGAGCTGTGCCTGGGGGCCACGGAATTGACTGTGATGCGAAGAACAAACTGGAGGCTAGAGAGTGAGAGCTGAAAGAGGCGGCTGTAACAGCCCTGGGCAGGGCGAGAAAGGCCTACGATGGAGACAGGGAGAGCAGGGAGAGCAAGGAAGAGGAGGTGAGGTGTGTAACAGAGTGAGGGAATGAAACCATTGAGGCAGAACTGATCCTAGTCCTACCAAATGACTGAAGAAGGTGAAGGGAGCAAAGACCATGGCTCTTCTTGAAGGAAGGGACAGTGTCTAATTCCTCTCCATCCCCACTGCCTAGCATGCAGTCAGGAAGAGGCGGGCCTCATTACATGTTTATTAACCAAAGTCAGGTCACCATACGAACAGTAGGACCATCAAAGAGAGGGAGAATTCAGGAAGCGGAGCTAGCTGGGGATGGGGAGCAGGGAAAGACAATGGCACCACCGGGGAGCTTCAGATGAAGAGGGGTGACATAGCCACCAGGGACTACGAAACTCACTGATCAGGCTAAAACCACTCTCACTCAGCCCTCGTCTGACCCAAATCTGCAAGTGAGGCATTATTCACAATCTCCCAGGCATGACAAACCTCCGGTGACAGTGTAACACAGAACACTTCAAAATGTCATCATATATATCACATATAACTTAAAAAAAAACCTGAAAAGATACATCTCAAATTATTATTATTTTTTGAGCTAGGGTCTCGCTCTGTCACTCAGGCTGGAGTGCAGTGGCACCATCTCGGCTCACTGCAGCCTCCGCCTCCCGGGTTCAAACAATCCTCTTGCATCAGCCTCCCAAGTAGCTGCGACTACAGGCATGTACCACCATGCTTGGCCAATTTTTGAATTCTTCATAGAGACAGTCTTGCTATGTTGCCCAGGCTGGCCAAATTATTAGCAATGGTTATTCGGGGAGGGACAGTGTCTAATTCCTCTCTATCCCCACTGCTTAGTATGGAGCCAGGCAGAGCGGAGCTTCATATACTTCTGTTGTGTTTTAACTTGTTTTGTTATGAAGTAGTTTTAATTTCATAATTAAATAGATCTGGCCAGGTGCAGTGGCTCACACCTGTAATCCCAGCACTTTGAGAGGCCGAGGCAGGCAGATCACTTGAGGTCAGGAGTTTGAGGCCAGCCTGGCTAACATGGTGAAACCCCATCTCTACTAAAAACAAAAATTAGCTGGGTGTGGTGGTGCACGCCTGTAATCCCAGCTACTCAAGAAGCTGAGGCAGGAGAATCGCTTGAACCCGGGAGGCAGAGGTTGCCATGGGCCGAGATTGCACCACTGCACTCCGGCCTGGGTGACAGAGGGAGGCTGTCACAGAAAAAAAAAAAAAAAAGTAAATAAATATGTTTTAGTTATATGTTTTCCTTATGACCCCTGCCATGTCATTCTGTAGAAATGTGTTCCTCCTACTAAGCGTTATCTGAGTTGTACCAGGGCAGCTCCGCTAATCCTAGCTAACCAACTAAGTGCTGAAAACCACGATCTGCTAGATGGTCTCTTACCTGCCCCTTCCTCTTGAAATGATGGATGTATCAGATCATTTCCATTTGAAGTAATCTAAGGATAACTGAAATGTACACCCAATCTTACCTATAGGTTTTTCCAACTTTTGGGAAGATACCGTCTGTAAACTTGAAATCCCAAATGAAATAAAGCCCCTGTCAGGGAGTTGGTGTCTTCCAGCTACACGAAGTGTCTCAATGGCCTTTGTACGTAGCTGGCAATCTTCGGTTCTTCACTGGCCTCTGACATGGAAACCTTGAAAAAGCAGAAATAGAAAGGAAATCAAAATGCTGACTTAAAAGGACCAGAAAAGAGAAAGATCAATCTGAACATGCCCCAAACCTATGAGTTACCCAACTAAGTAGATATACACACGGCAATCACAGATTTCTCATCTTTAAAATCAGACATTTGAATTAAATTTTTTATAGAGATAGAGTCTTGCTATGTTGCCCAGGCTGGCCAAATTATCAACAATGATTATTTGGGAGGGGGCAGTGTCTAATTCCTCTCTATCCCCACTACCATTAAGCATTGGAAGATTTAACAAAGGGCTGAGTGAAATTTTTCAGATTCTGTTTCCATTATGGGATTCCAGACCCAAAAAGATGTAACTGGACCTGGGTGATAGAAATAGACACCTCTGTTCTGAGGAGTCTCAGGCAAAAGGCAAAAGTTGACAGGCCGGGCGTGGTGGCTCATGCCTGTAATCCCAGCACTTTGGGAGGCTGAGGCAGATGGATTGACTGAGCTCAGAAGTTCGAGACCAGCCTGGGCAACATGGTGAAACCCATCCCTACAAAAATACTAAAATTAGCCAGGCGTGGTGGCATGCACCTGTAGCTGCTTGGGAGGCTGAGGCAGGAGGATTGCTTGAGCCCAGGAGGTTGAGGCTACAATAAGCCAAGATCATGCCATTGCACTCCAGCCAGGGTGACAGAGTGAGGCACTCCCCTGCTATCCACATTTTTAGAGAAAAATGTGGCCAAGTCCAAGTCTCACAGGCAAGAGGTAACAGAGCCCGAAAGATAAGTAGATGCTGAGAGCAGCAAGTGGCATGAATGGGAACAAGGTTTTGTGTTGAATACATAATTATTGCTAGTTTTCAATCTGATGACTTCACTTTCTCTATGTTCACTGTTATTTTAATATCATGGCTCTAGCTATCACAAGTCAAAGTTGCTTTGTCAACTTCCCTATGAAATAAATATGCATTTCCCCTTTTCTCAGTGGGAAAGCCCTGAAAATGCAACTTAACTCTGAATTCTGAGCCTTTATGCCAAAATTTCTAAAAAGGCTTTCTAACCGGAAGTTGGGTGTGTTTCACCATGACCTCAACCACATGTCCCAAGCAGGACTTGTGTCCAACCCCCACCCACTGCCTCCTTCCTCCGATTTCTCTTCTTCTCTATCAGATCATGTCACCCTGCCAGTTACTCCTCAAAGGCAAGCACATATCTTTTTCATCTTTGCATTACCAGCATCTAACGTAGTATCTGGCAAAAATGGGCTCTAGTGAATCTGAATGAATTACTTCATACACAAAATATCTCTTTACTGTCCAATAAAGATGTTAGCACAGTGGATAGTCCTTCCTACTATGCTCTTCATTCCCAAACAAAACTGAAACCCAGTGAAACTATTTCCAGGGCCTAAGGAAACTCAGGGTATGCTCTCTCTCTTCATTTCTACTACCATGCTTCCAGGGACAGCCTTGAACACCTTTCAGTGACAGGATCTGGCTCTATTAGCCAGGCTGGAGTGCAGTGGCATGATCTTGGCTCACTGTAGCCTCCACCTGCCAGGCTCAAGTGATCCTCCCACCTCAGTCTCCCAAGTAGCTGAGACTACAGGCACAAGCCACCACGCCTGTCTAATTTTTGTATTTTTTTGTAGATACAGGGTCTCGCCATGCTGCCCAGGCTGGTCTTGAGGTCCTGAGCTCAAGTGATTTGCCTTTCTCAGCCTCCCAAAGTGCTAGGATTATGGGCATGAGCCACCACACCTGGCCTTGAGCTTTCATTCTGTCTTTAGTCTTGTCATAGGTTTAGATCCCCACCTGGTCCCTTCTTGTTACCTATGGTAGGAGTTGGCAATTTTTTTTCTGCAAAGTGCCAGATGGTAAATATTTTAAGCTTTATGTGTCACATGGTCTTTGTTATGACTCAATTTTGCATTTGTAGAGAGAAAGCAGCAGACAATATATAAATGAATGATTGTAGCTATATGTCAATAAAACTTTATTTTTGGACACTGAAATTTAAATTTCATATGATTTTCATGTGTCATAAAATATTGATCTTTTCTTGATTTCTCCCCAACCATGTAAAAATGTAAAAAGTACTCTTAGTTTGCATCCACACAAAAACAGGCGGTGAGTCAAATACGGCCTGTGGGCCATAGTTTGCGAACCCTTGGCCTACAGTAGAAAAAAAAACCCTCAGAATTCCTTACGGACTTCGCGTATTTCGCCACATGGAGCCACCTTAGGCTGGGGAAGTAGAAAGCGCAGGGCTTTTGGGCATTAGGTGCTAGGTTCCAGTTCTGGCCCTACCACCTACCATCCCGGTAGCCTTGCACATAAAATTCAACCTCTGTGAGCTTTACTACCATCATCTATAAAATGGGGGAAATAACGCCTACAACACAGAGTTGTCATGGCAATTAAGTGAGCTAATATATATAGAGCTCATGGCACCAGTATCTGGCATACAGTAGGCACTCAATAGTAACTCTTATTCCAGCTTCTGACATGGCTTCCCCAGATCAACTGCAGCTCTGGAAAGCAACCCAGCCACTCTGTGAACCACAATTGGCTGCAGGAGGGAATAAATTGACAGCAAATACAAAGGCAGAGAGAGAATTTGGAGGTTTTCAGATACATGCCACAGGATTCTAAGTGCCTGGTTAGCCCTAATTCCTTCTGGCACCATGTAAAATTTCTCTAGTCCCTTTTTCCTCCTCAAAAATTACTTCTCACAGTCCTTAAAGATTCTTGGCATTCTTTACCAACTACCCAGATGGACCCTGTAGCCCTCTCCTCATTCCTGTACCTTCTGCTGGTATAGGGCTGCGGTGGGGAAGGGTGACCATGGTCAGACCAAACCTACACAGATTGATCGGCCTTCAGCTGGGTCTTAAGTAGGCTGGGCCTGGTGAGGCACCCAATTCTCTCTCAATTGTTCATGAATTTCTTGCTGTACTGGGAATGAAATTTCTTCAGCGCTTAAGAACTAGACTTTCTACAAAAGTTTTAGAGCCAAAAAAAAAAAACAAACAAAAAAAACCACCATGTATACCAACAAAAGATCCATCACATTACTTTCAAGTAAGAAAACATCAGTGAGGCACAGGTAAGGCTAAGATTTATGGTATCTCTACCCTTGGTCCAAAAAGCCAGATCTTGGCTTTTTGTCACTTCCTTGCTCTAAAATTTCTAATGGGTGTCCACTGCCCCTGGAGTAACCAAGCTTCTGTGCTGTCACTCAGGGCCTCCACCATCTTGTCCCAGACCAACCCTCTATGGGAGTCTTAACCTGCAGTCTAGTCAAAAGGGACTGAATTTCCACCTGATCGCTCTAACCAATTCCCAGCTTCCCACACTTGTGCATAATTAAATCACCTGTAACATTTTATTACACGTCTTCCCCTAGACTGTGAGCTAGGGACAGGGTACAGACTATGTCTCCTTGATCTCTGGGTCCCCTACACCTAGCAGAGGCTCTGACATGGGGCAACCACTTCATAATTGTTAATGAATGGATGGAAACAGCTGAAGTTATTCTTCCCTTAAGCTGTTTTAGCTGGACTCTTATTAGAAGACCGAGTACAGTCTGGGTCACTGCCACAAAGCAGAAAAACCGAAGAGAAAGAAAAGAGGCATGACCAATGTGATCCAAGCAATGGAAAATAGGTTTTAAGAGTGAGGTTGAAGAGACCAAGGCTGTTTAGCTAGGAGAAGAGAAGATGAGGCCTAACTGGATTCTGACTTTAAGTACAGAAAAGGTTATCATGAGAAAATCTTGATCTCATCCTCCCTTTATAATCAGAAGAAACTTTTCCATATTTATGGAAAATGGAACAAGAAGAAATGACTTAAGTTAAGGCCCGAAGGGTTTAAGCTGGACAGAAAGAAGAACCAAATTAGGCACCACTTTTCCAGAGATACTGTTATTGTACTTTTGGCAAGTGAATTGGAGGAGTCTTGCTTGGCACTTTTGTTGAAGGCTGTGCAAAAAGGAATACATATGCTGCTCTGTTCCTGTTTACTGTGGAGAGAGGTGGGTGAAAACACAAGTCAGGCAAGATTTTCTAAAGAGGCACTGATTTTTATTGACCCATTTCCTACAGGCACTTTCTGCCAGGTTATGCATTGCAACAATGTGCTGGAACAATCTAGTATCTCAAAGGTTCCTGATAGGGCAATGGAAAGAAAGAGAAGGTAACAATGCCGGGGAAGGGAAGATGGCCCTAATAAATACACTTTCTATAAAAACAGTACCAAACTGGGCATTCATATATTTGTTAATATTATTACAATTAAAGCTCACATTCATTGAGCACCTACTATGTGCCAGGCACTGTGCTGTTTTATCTCAATTCTCTTAACAACCCCATGAGGTAAGTAATATTTGTATTCTCATTTTACAGATGAAGAAACAGAAACTCAGGAAGATTAAATAACTTGCCCAAGTCACACAGGTAGCAAGTGGCAGAGCCAGGACTCAAACTCAGGTAGTCTGACTCTGGAGTCCATAAACCTAACTACTGTCCCCCTGTAAGGATGAGATGCTGGAATATAAACTTTAGTCTCTCTGAATCCTGTTCATATTCTCAGCTCTTCCTCATACAGTCCCAAGTCAGGACATTAGCAAGAGTTGAGGCCTCAGAAGTGAACCGAAATACTCCTTTGATTATCAGCATCTATAAAATGGGGGCACTAACACCCACATCACAGAGTTGTCATGGGAATGAAGTGAGCTAATGTATACGGAGCTCATGGCACCAGTGCCTGGCATACAGTAGGCACTCAATAACTAGGAACTGTTATTCCAGCTTCTGACATGGCTTCCCCAGATCAACTGTGGCTCTGGAAAGCAACCCAACCACTCTGTGAACCACAACTGGCTGCAGGAGGGAATAATCTGACAGCAAAAACAAAAGAAAGAAACAGACTGAGGACTCTCAGATGAAAATGAGCACATGCAGGACTTGAACGCCAGCCTCTGGACTCCAAGTTAGTGCTCTTTCCTACTTACAGACTCTTGCTGAATTTGAGGGTGAGAAAGTGGAGAGATAGGATGTGCCAAATGGGCTGCCTCCCGCAACAGACCCTTTTGTAATGAACTGTCAATCTCCCATCAGAACCCATGCCTGAAATACCAGGGTCCTGCAGCCTCTGTAAACTGGTTCGAAGATTCTACTAGCTAAGGATGGCAATGCACTGATTTATGGCATTGTGGGTGCTGCCAAAATGCTCACCTATTAAACCTATCAAGCAGACCTAGTCCATGCAGCTTCCAAACTAGGCCAGTGATTCACCGTTTTAAGCCTCTTCACTGATGTCCCCATTCTGGGACCATCTTTGCTCCAGTCTAACCTCCGCCCGGCTGCCAGAGAAAACAGAGCGCCAGTCAGGGCATTTGGAGTCTCGCAGCATAAGGAAGATAACATGGGCCTTTGAACTCAGCACTGCTAGTTTTGAACCAAGCTGTGCCCTTACCAACTATCTAACCTTGGGGAAGTCACTTTAATCTTTCTGAGGTCTGGTTTCTTCATCTTTAGATTGGAGATAAATAGGCCTATATTACAGAATTAAATATAGTATGTAAAGCATCCAGCATACTGCAAGCCACAAAGCAAAGGAGACACTTGATAAATGCCAGTGCTCTGCTCCCTACTCCGCTCTCTACATTTTAGCCAAAACCTGCCACTTCGGCTTATTTCTTCTCACTAACTCCTCTCCCTTCCCACAACACATACACACACACACACACACCCCCTTACACCTGTGCATTTCTGCCTCTCAACCATTGCTCAAGCTGTTCCTTCTCCCAGGAATAAACTCCCTCCAAGGCCCAGCATAAATTCTCCACCTTCAGGAATCCTCTGATCATGCTGGGATTGATTTCTCCTTCTCCCAGACTCCCACTTTGTTTACATTCCTTACTACATTTACCATAGTCAGTCTGATTTCAGTTATTTATGTACTTATCTATCTTCCAAACTACACTGGAGGGAGAAGGTTCTGAGAAGACAATTATTTATAGGAGGGCAGGAAATGTGTTGTTTTCCTCTGTGTGTATTTCTCAATACCAGGGTCTTGTACATAGCAAGAGCTCAATATGTGCTTATTGAATTGAATCTTTCCATCCTATACTGGGAATCTTTACAGAAAGATCCTGGACTGAGTTCATTCTGAAACTGCATTTACTGCCTGACTTGATAAATAGGGAATTTTTGAAGTACATGAATATTCCTAAAGTAAGATCCACTAATACTCATGTGGGCTTGTTTCATTCCTTCATCCATTCTTCCAATACACTCTGGACTCTTCTTGGGGTCTCTCTCCAACACACAAGGAGACATTGCTGGGACAACATTTCTCACTCACGGAGATCTGGGAGCAAGCTCTTGGAGAACTGCTCCACCCCACTGCGTAGGAGGTGACTGTCATTAAAACCATACTAAAACCCAGAGTTGTGGAATTGGAAAATAGATCTGAATGATCTGCCTTAGTTTCCAAGCTATAACATAGAGTTAAAAACACTTAAAACAGTGTCTGGAACACAGCAAGTGTACAATAAATGTTAGATGTTGTTTTAACGACGAAGTAGACTGGAAAAAACAGAGTCATGACATTTCACTTCTAGAACTATCTCCACTACTGACTGATTCCTTGTGCAATCTTTTTTTTTTTTTTTTGAGACAGAGTCTTGCTCTGTCGCCCAGGCTGGAGTGCAATGGTGCAATCTCAGCTCACTGCAACCTCTGCCTCCTGGGTTCAAGCGATTCTCCTGCCTCAGCCTCCCAAATAGTTGAGATTACAGGTGCTCGCCACCACGCACAGCTAATTTTTGTATTTTTAGTAGAGATGGGGTTTCACCATGTTGGTCAGGCTGGTCTCAAACTTCTGACCTCAGGTGATCCACCTGCCTCGGCCTCTCAAAGTGCTGGGATTACTGGTGTGAGCCACACACCTGGACTCCTTGTGCAATCTCGATCAAGTCCTTTCCCCATCTATAAAATGGTGGCAGAACCAGATGGTTGGTTCCCAAGCTCCTTCTACCTTCGACCATGTATATTTTTTCTGTGATCAAGAAATAACTTTCTCTTCCACATGCTGAGGCTGTTGGCAAGGGAAAATGTGCATTTATAGCTGCTGGTCCCCAGATGGGAGGAACCACTGTTTCCCAAGGCCAAGGGCAGAGTAACTGATTAGAAAACCACCTGTGAGTTTTCCCCTGTTTAAACTGTACTATTAATACACCCAGTGCAGGTCTCTGAACAGAGCATTACCTACCTTCCAACAAAACTCACAGTCAAGGCAAGACAAGAGCCTGAAAACAATGGCTGCAATGAAGAATCCTTGCTTGTGCAGAACTATTGTACTTTCCTGCTTTTGATGCCTGTAATTAGGGCATCAATCTAAACTAGGGCCCTCCTTAGGCCCAAAGAGGAGGAAAAACACAAAGTCCCATTCTGAACCTGACAGCTCATAACACAAGGGCCAAAGCTAGTAAATAAAAAATGTCACTGACTCATTTAACCACAAACACTGCAGAGGCCTACTATGTGCTGGCCCTATTCTGGGCAGAGGAGGAAGGAAAGAGACATGGTGCCTTGCCACCTACCTACTCAGAGTACATATGGAGTGTACATACCCCTAGGTAGACTATGATGAGAGTTACATTAGAGGGTCAGCCTCTGCCACAGAAGACAGAAAGGGGAACAAGTAATCCAGCAGAAGGCTCAGAAAAGCTTCACCATGGAGGCCACATGAGATGTAAACCTTGAAAGATGAGGAGGAGGACGGAAATCCAGGAAGAGGGAATATAAGCAAAAGCTTGAGCAGGAACATGCAGGGAGTGTTTGAGAAGCAGAGACTTGGCTGGGCACGGTGGCTCACACCTGTAATCCCAGCACTTTGGGAGGCACAGGCAGGCAGATCACCTGAGGTCAGAAGTTTGAAACCAGCCTGGCCAACATGGCGAAACCCCATCTCTACTAAAAATACAAAAATTAGCCAGGTGTGGTGGTTCATGCCTGTAATCTCAGCTACTCAGGAGGCTGAGGCAGAGAATCGCTTGAACCTGGGAAGCAGAGGTTGCAGTGAGCCAAGATTGCGTCGCTGCACTCCAGCCTGGGTGACAAAGTGAGACTCCATCTCAAAAAAAGGAGAAACAGAGACAACTAGTTTATTTTGACTGGACCACAGGTTGCAGGTTTGGGAAAACCAGGGGAAACAAGGAGGGCAGAAGTTTGGGAACAAATGGTGGAGGAAGAACTTGTCTGAGGCTGGAGTCTAAACTCTACATCAAGCTTGTCCAACCCACGGCCCTGGATGGCTTTGAATGTGGTCCAACATAAATTCGTAAACGTTCTTAAAACACTGAGATTTTTTTTTTTGCAATTTTTTAAAAAGCTCATCAGCTATTGTTAGTGTTAGCGTATTTTATGTGTGGCCCAAGACAATTCTTCTTCTTCCAATGTGGCCCAGGGAAGCCAAAAGATTGGATACCACTGCTCTATAAAGTAAGCAGTGACGCCCACCAAGGTTTCCGAGCAGTGTCTCGAAGAGCGCAGGGGCACCCATGAAGATGATGCAAAAGGAACCAAGTAATTAAATTACTCTGGGACCACATTACAGGAGACCACATGCACTTCCTAAACACATGCTGGGCTCTGACAGCTCCTGCTCACAGAGCTTCCCTCTCCCATGGCTTGGCTTCATACAATCTGAGCTGCCATCTCCCACAACTGTCAATATCTGCAAAATACCAGAGTAACAGAACTCCTGACCAACTCTCTGGATTACAGACAGAGAAGCGTTGAGGTGGGAGCAGATGGGCAGAGGGGGCACCAAAGCCTCTAGCTGGCTCAGTTCCATATAAAACCCAACCCTAGATTTCCTCTTCACATCACTTCCAGCCGCCCTCTAATGAAGGGCTGAAGCTAAGGAGAGTGGGCTGAAATCACCTGGCTGATGGGTGGTGATTCAGTGAGACACTACACCTACTGTCCAGCATGTGCCTGGCACATGGACAGTGGTGCCCTTCCCATTCTGCAGGGTCAGTTCCATCTGTAAATCCCACTGAGGCTTCAAGGCCCAGGTCACGTCAACTCTTCTCTCAGAGCCTTTCTAAAGTACCCCAATCCAAAATGACCGAGCTCCTAGAAATCACAGCTACCATGTATTCAGCACCCATTACATAACAGGTGCCATACTAGGTGACTTCCATATAATCCTATTCAACCTTCACAATGGACCCTATTATGGCCATTTCCTAGGGAAGAAAGTGAAGCTCTGTGAGGGGAAGCGGACTTGCCCCAGGACACACAGCTAAGAGGCGGAAGAGATGAGATCTGAACCCAGGACTCCCTGACCCTGAAGTTGAGCACTTCTAACAACACTTCATTCCTGTGAGCCTGCCTGCCTCTGATCTGCCACTGACAGGGAGCTTGGAGCTCTCTAGGAAGACCGGGTGCACCTGACACTCTTATTACCTTTCCCTGTGGACAGCCACCCACACAGGCAGGAGCCTTCACATACTGAAAATAAACGAAAACAATTAATTTAAAAATAACGCAGTACACAGATTTCTCAAATTCCTCACGTGAAAAACTTCATGACACTGGACTGCCTGAGCCCTGTGCCCAGCCATAGCCTCGGTCCCGATCCCTGGGAAAGACTGAGTCTCAAACGGGCCACAGAGTAAGCGCCATCTCGGACACCGGCCGCGCCCCTACCCCAGGCACAGACGGAGCCCCGACAGGTCGTAGACAGCTCGAGACAGTCCTGAAAAGCGTCCCCTTAGGCTGTCCCTCCGCAGCTGAATCGGGTCGTGACCTCGGGCCGCCGTGAAGGCCCTGACTGCCCCCTTCCGGGCATACGAACTCACAGACCCCGGCCCCACTTAGCTCGGAGGAATACCTCGCACGTCTCGCTTTTACCTTCGCTGGCTCCCGCCGGGGAGCGGTCGCGCGCACCCCTATCTGCTGATCGCTCCTCCGAGAACGCGGAAGAGGCGGTGCTAGATCCAGGGGGTGGGCCCGACCAGAGAGGGGCGTGAGGAGGCGGAGTTGCGCCTGTGCCCTGATGGCTACGCGGGGCCGCCTGGGGGAAGGGGACTCGAGCTGAGCGAACTGCGCAGGCGTGACAGAGAAGAGGCGGGGAGAGGGGAGATTACTCCCAAGTGGGTGGGGCTTAGCTCTTCCGGCGCTTTCTTTTCCGAATGGAGGGTGGAGAAGCCCGGGAACGAAGGAGGCTGCGTGCGGCAGGTGTAATTAACATGCACTGAGCGCTTCTGCAGGCCAGGAAGGAATTTTAAAATGCCTTTTATATGTAGGGAAACGCTGCTAGTCTTTTCTAAAACGGGGGCCAATTCTGCACAATTTCTTTAAAGGTCTGAGTGCCTAGAATTTCACCATGAGAGTTTCTACTTGAGTACATTATCCCCAGTAGTTCAAAATTTTTAAAACTTTTAAAAGTTCATTTATTGGGGAAAAACAATTGTAAATGGGTTAATGCCTCAACCAGCCTCCCCACATCCCCTTCCCAAGTCTGCAGCTGCGATGAGAAAGGATGAGAGTGTGGACTGGGATTTAATTCAGGTGCTGACTCTGAGTGATGGAGGTAAACATGCCTTCTCCGCCTGTCTCAGGATTATTGTGAGGATTTGGTAAGCAAGGCTAGTTAAAGAGCCCCAGGATTTGCTTCCCATCATCCACCTGACAAACATTTGTTCCCTGTCTTGTCAGGGCTGTCCCGATTGGGAATATTAGTGAACATTCAGGACTTTGCTAGATTTCCCAATCTGGGTGAAGGCTGGAGAGGGGGAAGATCAAGCTTCTGTGTTCACTCCCTTCTGGAATCCTGCGGTCCAACCTGAGGGCCCCTATGTATCCTGACTTCTCCCACTTATCACCTTCCGTGGAGGCCCACCCAAGTTTCAAGTCTTCAGAGGCCCTGCTTGCCTGTTCCCTTCCCTGTTCCCTGTCTCAACAGCTTAAGAGACTCAGGACCTATGTTCCAGGTTCTCAAAGTTGCTATGTCCCTCACATGGCAACCAAGTTCAGTTAACATCTTTGAGGACTCTGGAGGTGCTCAGAGAAAGGGGGGCTCTCCCAAAGCAGGTGGAGCTCTAGTCATGCCTGTGGCTCATTTCACCACATATTCCACAGCTTGCTGTGGGATAGGGAGGAGAGTGGCAACAGGAAACCTGAGGCTGCAGTGTTTATGGGAGCCGGGGGTGATGCAGCATCCTTTACTCAATAGGTGGATACTCTGCCCTAGGCTGGAGAGGATGGCTTACTATCTAGGTCCCTGCTCCAAATATTGTTATGGAATTTTTTTTTTTTTTTTTTTTTTTTTTTGAGACAGGGTCTCGCTGTGTTTCTCAGGCTGGAGTGCAGTGGCACCATCTTTGCTCACTGCAACCTCTGCTTCTTGAGCTCAAGTGATCCTCCTGCTTCAGCCTCCCGAGTAGCTGGGACTACAGGCATGCACTACCATGGCTGGCTAATTTTTGCAGTTTTTTTTTTAAAGGCAGTGTTTTGCCATGTTGCCCAGGCTGGTCTCGCACTCCTGAGCTCAATGATCCTCCCACCTTGGCATCCCAAAGTGCTGGGATTACAGGCAAGAGCCACTATGCCCAGCTTTGTTATGGATCTTGAGCCAACAGGAAAACAAAGCCCAGCCTGACTTCTCAACCAAGCTGCCACTCCCAATATGTTACCTCTCCCAGGACCCTTTGTTACCAGGTTTTGCTCCATGGGAGTGTGCTCTTTTCTCTGCAATGTTGAGGCCCCATCTATTTCTTTTCCCCTCTCTTCCTTTCTGTCTATTCTTCTTTAAGCATCCCTCTGTGAATCTCTCAAAGAAATTTTGTGTCAGCTTCCTGATGTATTTACAGATATTCCCATGTAAGGGGCAGGTCTTGGGTCACAGAGTTCTAAGATAAATCTACTCTCACTGCCATGGTCATATTTCAAAATGACTGTGAACCCAAAGCATGGGCCTTGTAACAGTCTGAGCTGTCCAGTGACTGAGGAGGTAGTGAGCGATCTGTCATAGGAGGTGTGCAAACAGCACCCTTTTAGAATGCTGGGATTGGGCCTCCTGTGGTGAGCCAGAGGAAGAGGCAGCAGAATGGAGGGCCTTCCAGATTCTAGAGTGAATAAAGGGAGGGATATTGAGGGCTGGAAGGGAAGCAAGACAGCTGGCCAAAGACACACTTGATTCAACAAGCTATTATATATCAAGCACTTAGAAATGTACCTGATACATAATGAACATTAGCTATTATGATGACTGTGAATGATTCATAGACTATATAATGAAGGAGCTGAGATCAATCAGTCCTTCACTCCCATCACTGATAACAAAATAGATGGGGAATTGGGGTCTAGAGGGGGAATGGGCTTGCAATGGAACTTTAGGAGCTGCGCTGGGACTACAACCTACGCCTCTGCCTCCCAGGAGAGCCTCTGCACAAAGCCGGGCTGGCTCCTTTGCAGGAAGAGGCAAGAGCTCTAGGTGGGCCTTTGTTGATGCTTAAGAACCAAGCTGCTTTTTAATTCCTGTCCAGGCAGCTTGTGGGTTAGAGGCAGTGGAATGACAGCAAGACCTGAGGAAGTAGATGCAGGTGTCTTCTGGGGAGTAAGCTCAGGAGTCAGGCCCATGTCCTGCCACCCCCACTGTAGCTCCAGCCAGCAACAAGTATCTTCCTCTTCAGGATGGCCTCCTGTCCTGTAATTAGTGTTGGGATTGTATTTCCACTCTGTCCTTTTATCCACTACCTCAAAAAAACCACCCAGATTAAGGGAGTGGAGTGAGAAGAGCCAATGCCAGGCACCCTGAGATGAAACAAGAAACGATTCCTATCAGACTGAGTTCCTGGAAGGCAAGGGCCAACCTTCTCCACCCCCAGTGTCCCAGTCTAGCCTGGTCTAGAATTCCCAGAGCCCCAGGAGAATCTTGGTGTCCCCACCCTAGAGAGCTGGGCCAGACATGACCACACCAGCCAGCCCTCCACATGGTCCAGTATCTCAGGACAAAAAGCCTTCCCAGCCCCATTCTGGCTCAGTTCCTTCCATGGTCTGCCAAGAGCCATGTGGCACCCAGATCACCGCTTCCCACCAGTGGCTGCTTTAGTTTGCCTTTTATTTTACCAAAAATAACAACAATAAAGTCTTCCCTCTGTTTCATAAAAATACATTTTCCCACCCTCCCCCCAACCCAGAAATCAGCCCTTGCCGCAGCCTAGAATCCATCATGCAAGTCACAGCACTCTGGGGAAAGCTCCTACTACCCTCGCTCCACAGCTCCGGCAAAGCTGCCGGGCCACTCGGGAGGCGGCAGAGGCAGAAGTCCCAGGCCCAGCTGGCTGGCCCCAAGAGCTCCATCTGTTTCCCCAAAGTGCAGGCAGCTTCTAGGCCATTTAGTGGGGCATGATATTGGATGCTTGGCTCAGGAAACAACCCCAGCCAACCCAAGGGCAGTGGGGCATGTTGGCATCAGGTTAGAAATTATTGCTCAAAGCAGAAACAGTTATGTCCTAGAGAAGGTCTGTTAAACCCTCTTTCCATGTGCATCTCTGTGTAGCAATAGATGGGTCAGGATCCCTGGTTTCTCCAGCTCTGTGAACGCCTCCCTGTGAGGCCTTGGACAGTTTCTCCCTCTTCTTCTCCTGGCTTCAGTTTCCTCGTATGTACATTGAGACATGAGACTGGATGATTCTCAGGTCCCTTCTGGCTTTCATTCTGGCCTCCCAGAGTGGAGGCTCTGGGAGGGCAGATCCCGGTTCCTGCCTCAGTTTCCCCACCTGTGGGTCTGAGCATAGTGCTGGGTATGGAGGTACTGAGTAATGGAGTGCTGAATGAACATCCCAGTCTCCCTGTGGATAGCTGTGCTCTGAGATCCAACTGTCCGGAATGCCTGAGGGATGGCTGGGAAGGAGGCAGGTAGTTTTAGGATGGAGGATCTCCATACCTGGAAGAGTCCATTCACCAACTATATCCTCAATGTCCTGGGATGGAAGAGAAGACTCCAAAGTTCCCAGCTGAAGTTCCACAAGCTCCTTGGACTGGGGGATTATTCTGTGCTGGGCTTCAGATCCCAGGAGCCAGGTCTGTAGATTCTGGGAGCTAGACTGGAGTATATGATTCCCAGATGAAGGGCCAGGGGACCTTTGTGTACTTGAGGGATCATCTCCAACCCCCAGGCTACCTATAATATAGGCCTTCTTGGAGGCAGAGGGATGAGTATAATGTCAGCTCATGGGCATCTGTGGGTAAGAGAATCAGAGCCTGTGGCTGTGGTGGGTCAGGGTTTAGGAACTCAAGGCAAGGCTCGTCTTCCTACCTTCCCCTAGCTCTCCAGGACTCATGCTGATGGAAGAATGTAGCCTGGAAGGTTTGAATGTAGAGCAACATCTACAACCACATTTTGGGCACTTAGTCACATGGTCAGATATACTGAGTGGGGACGCTGAGCTGTCATCACTCCTACAGTGTCCGTGGTCTGATGGTCCCATGGTCTGATGGTCCCAATCTATTTATCCATCCATCCAACATTTATGGAAGGCCTATTATGTGCCAAGGAGGGGTAAGGCAGCTAGCTCTCACAGACACATCCCACAGTGAAAATCACACACGCACACACCCCGGCATCTGTGCTCACTCACAGGCAGACTGCTCACTCTCTTGCACCTTTCTTGCCATCACCTTGGCCACACCCACATTCCTCCAATAGGCTTGGGAACCAGCATGGAAGGGTCAAGTGTCATAGAAGAAACCCCCTAGCCTACCCTACTCCCACACTTCATGCCAGAGGTTTAACTCCACTTCCCTTCTGTTTGCCCGCCTAGATGCTCTCCCCTTCTCCATCCACAAGCGGCCAGGGCGACAGGTAGGCAGACTCCTGAGAACCAGAAGTCCAGAGGCTTTGGGTGTGTGGAGTGGTTCCAGTGCCTTCAGATTCCTTCAGGCTCCTGGGGGTCCCCTCTGCCAGCCATCCTGTGTTCAGATTGTCCATCTGATGGCCAAAAAAGTCCAGACCTG